TTTTTCTCTCTTGGCTGAACACCCAAACTCCAAGTCTTTAGCAACCATTTAACATGTTTTAAATTTAAGATTATCGGCGTGAAGGTTGCTCTTTGTATTTGGAAGGGAGACGTGATGTCACTGACTTCAACTTAGAGTACGAGAAGAAAACACCACTTGGCTGGTAGTCCGATCACCCCGTGCCAGCCCTGGGTCCACCCTAACTCACTGGGTGACTGTGCCCAGGTCACCGCTGCTCTCTGGGGTGTGGTTTGACCATCTGTAATATTAAAGGGGGGGACCCAAAGATCAACGAGTTCCCTTCCAGCCCAACCATCTCTGCAGCCATGGTTGTACAGGGGGATCTGGGGAGAGGGGCAAGTAGCAGGTGTGTGCGTCTTCTTCCGGAAAGGGAGAAAAGATGGGAGAACACAGAGCTAACACTGGCAAGAGGATGGACACAGCAGCAAGCCCGGTGATCGTTTCAGGGCTAGACTGGGAGAGAAGCAGGGTAGGGATATCAGTGGACAGAGGCTGCTTGGTCGGCCCTGTTCCCCTTCCCCTGCTACTTTTGGTGACAAAGTTTTATTTTCCTTTGGGAACCACCCCCTCCTCCACTCTCCCTCAATGGGCTCCAGGTTTGATGGATCCAAGTCATTTATCCTCCCTGGCTATAATTTGGAGATGACATATACTCCAAGCCAGGCCAAGAAGGGCCCACTCCTGGGTTTCCTGCTAGAGCTGGTGGAAATCAGGCATGCTCTCTCTTTTTCTCTCTCCCTGCTAAGTAAGGTTGCTAAGTTGGTTGGATGTAAGCCTGGTATCTCTTTGCCACCACCTCAAGGGAGCCTACCCGAGACTAAGTCTAAAGCCAACGCCAAGAACACAGAACCAGGACATAGGCCAGGTGGATCCCACGTGATGCTCAGTATCTGGATCCAGTAGGATCCGAGGCCCTGGATTTCTTCAGTTACAGAAATTAATCTTGATTTTTTAGTTCTGCTTTGTTTCTTTTTTTTGGCTCAAGTCCATTTGAGTTGTGTTTCTGTCACTTACCACTGAAAAGTCAGGAACTAAGCACCCTGGTCAGGAAATACAGCCTAGACTCCCAAATGTGTCCCCACATTATGGCCAAGAGGGACGATAGATCAAAGGGTCAATGCTACTGCTGCTCCTCCCAGGCAGGGAGGGTAGCTCTCACCCGGGCCCTGCTCCTGTACTAGACCACAAACACTCCCTTGCAACACAAGGACACCCTGAAAGTGCAGCTAATCACAGGTCCCACAGGGAGCTGCCTGCCTTGTTTTCTATCGTGGAGGGATGGTACCGCCTCTCCTGGGCAATGCTCCTTGCAGTGATGAGCTTCTCAGGGTGGCGTCCACTCAGTCAGAGCACCCGACTCCCTGGCTTTGGGCGGGAGCACAAGACCCCAGTTGCGGCAATTGTAGTATTCCATGCCCTGGGCTTAGCAATTGGGCCAGGATTGGTCACATGACCCGAGGCAGAGCAATCTGAAGGCTGCCCCAGGATTTTCTATCTTGGGCTGGCAGAGAAGAGTTTCCCTCGTTTGGGGGCACATGCTGTAAGAATGAGCACCTGATGTTGCTGGGGGTCAGGGGAAGATCTGGTACGCAGGAGCGAAGCTGATGCCCTGGCAGAAGCAGAAACGTGGGGCTGAGGGCCATGAACCTGACTGCCTTGGGGTCCAGCCTGCACCTGCTCTACCTCGCCTTCCAGTGTGTGAGGCAAGAAACAGCCCTCCGTCCCTCCTGTCTTTAAAGCAAGTTTTAAATGGGTCTCTGTCACTTGCAACCAAATAGTCCTCAAGAATACTCTTTTCTGGGCAACTGGGTGGCTCAGTCGGTTAAGCATCTGCCTTCGGCTCAGGTCATGATCTCAGGGTCTTGGGACCGAGTCCCCCATTGGGCTCCCTGCTCCACAGGGAGCCTGCTTCTCCCTCTGCTTCCTACCTCTCTCTCTCTCTCTATTTCTTGTGAATAAATAAATAAAATCTTAAAAAAAAAAAGGATACTCTTTTCTTCCAAACCAAGAGAAAAACAAACATCTAAGATCTGGGCGCCTTTGTCACCACTGCTGACCAAGGAAAGTGCTTTAATATCAAGGCACAGAAGCTAATAAGCAAGAGCTTTGGATCTGGGTTCCAATCTTGATCCCAGCAGTCACTAGCTTTGTGACTTTCTGCAAGTCACAACCACTCTGAACCTCAGTATCCTCATCTGTGAAAGGGAGGATAATGATAGCAGTCCCCCCGTGGGTGGCTAGGAGAGCAAAGTGAGTGCCTGGCATGTGGTTCTGGCTCCACACCTAGGGGCTGTTATTATGATTTCCTTCTCCCTGTGCTTTTCTTCTCTGTTCCACCAAGGTCTTGGGTCTAGAGGGGGACAAAAGGGTTTCTGGTGGCCCTGGAGCTTGCAGCAAAGCCCGTGTGTAGCTCTCAGCTCCAGAGGGTCAGGAAGCTCTGGGCTCTGCTGGGGAGGTTTGGAGAAAGAAGAGCTCAGCCCTGGTCTTGGGCCAAAGGGAGAGCTGCTCAGGACCGCACAGTCATGGGAATGGCAGCCCGGCCACGGAGAGGAGCCCAACCCACAGCCGTGGCTCACAGAGCCAGACTTCCCAGCAGGCACGGAGGGACGTCCCCCGTGCAGGCACCAAAGAACCACCATTTGCTCAGCAAAGAGAAGCGTCCAGGCACCGGGAGGGGCTTTGTAGGGCTCAGGGTCAGTCAGGGGGCACAAGGATGAGTAAGACCCAGGCCTTGCCCTCCAACAGCTAAATGCAAACACGGCTACGACACGTGGAGCTAAGTGACGTGCTTCCTGCAGGCCCCCTCAGCCTCCGTTCCCCGAGGTGGTCTCTCTCCTGCACCACGCAGTCCGGTGGCCCCGGGCCACCACGTGGGGATGAGGCAGCCTTCTCTGGTCCTCTATTCCAAGCATCCTGGCTACAACCCTTCCTACCCACTATTGACGTGATAACTGTCCCAAAGCTCCAAAAAAGTCCCTCCCTGCTCAAAAATCTTCAAGAGCTCCCATTTCCTGGGGACAAAACCCAGGTGCCTCCACCTGGCATTTAGGACCCTTCCAGGTACAGCCCCACCACACGTCCGGGTTGTGCCCTAGCCCATACTTTCCTACCAAGAGCTCCCGTGTCAGCAGAGGGAACTCCGCCCTGTGCTTGAGACGCACCTGCACATTCTCACCTCCACGCTTATCCCATGAACTTCCCCTTCTTGCCTCTCTGCACCTCCAAACCTTTCTTGTCCTGCACATCAAACACCACCTCCGGGGGGTGTTAGCCTCACTGTCCCTAGTTGAAGCAATCCCTCCCTAAATGGACTCCCGGGGCACTTCCGGTCGTGTCAGCTGCACTTGAACCTGGCTTCCTGGGGAGGTCGAGCTGTAGAGTGTTTGTCTTTTAAAGAGTAAGAGGACGCAGGCTGTTGTCTCTCTGTCCGGTGAACACAGGAAGTCAGCCAGGCTCTCCCTGGAACCCTGGGTGGCCCCTGCTTGGAAATGCAAGAGTGAAGGGAGCAGCCCCGCCCTTGCCCTACAGGAATGGTGTTCGGGGACCTTTGGGGGGCACCGACAGAGGCTGCCCCCCCACCTCCCCTCTCTACACAGAATTGGTCTCTGAGGAACGTGGGGTCAGCCCGTCTCAGGGCACACAAGACTCCTGAGAGGACAGGAACCGGGTCCCCTCCCTCTTTCCTCCGAGCACTGGCATTATTCGAATGCCTTGGCTAAAGGGGACATTTCCCTGAGAGCTGGTGGCACACACAGACGCTGTGACACAAGGTGACCTCACCACGAGTCAGTGGCAGGGGAAGAGGACCTGGAGATGTCCAGACTCACCACTGGGCTCAACATCAGCCCAGCAGTGCAGAGCCGAGCCCATGGCTCAGGCTGGAAGCCTCCGGGGCCCAACACCCACTGCGGGGTGGAAGGCTCTAGAAACAATGGCCAGAGTAATAGAAAGCAGAAACCTTCCGAACCTACACGTGGGATCCCGCACAGCAGCCCCATGGTGACAGTGGTCCGGGGCATGCTTGTGTAGGCAGCATGGGATCCCGTCCATGGTGCCATGGGAACAATGGCAGAGTCTCTCTCTCTCTCTCTCTCTCTCTCTCTCTCTGCTGGCATTGCAAATGGAACTTAAGCCTGGAGGGGGCTTCAGGGTCTTTAGACAGCTCCGGTGTGAGGCGGGCAGAGGTCTTATGGGAGGAGCCACGTGGGTGCTCGGGCAGTCAATGGGAGAAAGAAGAAATACAAGCACATTTCCACGCAGAATAGGGGAGCAGCCGCACCTGCAAACTCAGCACAGGCTGCCCCGTGTCAAGTCAGGGTCGGGGTCAGGGTCAGGGTCGGGGCTCTGCCATACACAACAAGGCCCTGGAGTCTTTCGGTCAGTTTCCTCTGTAGTACTTTGCACAGGAACAGGCACACAATAAACCGCTGGAAGGAGGGAAGGAGAGAGGGAGGGAGGGGCTGTAGGTCCAGGAGAGTCCAGAGGAGGGAGTCCTAGCTTGCAGCTGGATAATCAGGGCCAACTTCCTGCAGAGGTGGCCCATGAGGGCCTTGAATTAGAAGCAGCCCGAGGGTCGAGAGGGTCATTTGCGACTAAGGGTTCCTGGAAAGTGTCCTTCACAGGCCTTGGGTCCCTGCAGCATGGTGGGGGCTAAGGCGAAAGCAGGTGCCAGCCCCCTGCCCCTACCCTCCCTTCTTGTCCTCAGCCTCACACAATTCCAACAGCTGGGGGTTCATTTTTAAGGAAAACTTTGCAAATTTTACAAAACACACGGAAAACATACCAGCAGGTGAACACATTGTGGGGGCCCCACTCGACACCCCGACGCTTACGCTTCCTGAGGTCCAGGACGCGGCTCCACCCGCAAGAGCCCTCTCCTCCACCTGGGCCTGGCCCAGCTGCTCACCCAGACTCCCCGCTAGCTTGGGGGCACCGGGCAGCCCCGGCTGAAGGCCTCGTGGGCCAAGAGTTGAGCTGACCTGAAAGGCAAAGACACCCTTGACCATCGCCTCCCCAAACACGAAGCTGGAGCCGGCATCCGTGTAGCTCAGGAAGATCTGAAAGCAAAACATAAAACAAAGCAAAAGTCTGGAGGGAGGCCAGGAAGCAAGGAGGGAGAAATGGTGGCCAGGAGCCCGGGGCTGGGTGAGCCGGAGGGACCTTGCTGGCCACGGGCCTGTCCGGCAGCCCAGAGGGAGAGACGGTGGGGCTCCCGGGCCTCCCGGGGGCCGCACCTGGCAGTGTGCTTTGTGAAAGCTAGGACGATGGTGAGCCAGACGTGTGTGAAGGCTCTCCTAGGTGGTGCCTGGTGCACCTGCTCACTCCCCTCACAGTACCATCCTGTCCCCACCCCAGGCTGGTGGCCTTGCTGGCCTTGCGGCCACCCTTCTGCAAAGCTGGTTTTAGGTCCTGATCTTGCTTTGTGACTTCGGGGACAAGTCACTTCTCTCGTCCAGACCTCAGTAGTCCCATCTATAAAATGACAGGGGAGACCAGCCCATGGAAATCCGAGCTGGCAAGACCGGGGTGCAGAGAGGATTAGCCATGCGCCCCCCGATAATATACTTTAAAAAGTAACTCATGATGGTTGCACAACAATGTGAACGAGCTTCATGACCCTTAAAGATGGTGAAAATGGTAAATTT